GACTCCTTGCCCGTAGCTGCAGCAGCCTCAACAGAAGGCGATTGTCTCTCGGTCGGGCCCGCGGTAAGCATGTCAGCGTTGGGTGCAGCTGGTTCCGCCGCGGCAAGTGCTCGTAGTGCTGGCTGGAAGTCGGTGGCGGATGTGACGCTTGCTACAGCGACTAGCGCGGTGACGCCGAAAGTGTTGAGCTTCATGATCGAGTCGGCTTGTCGGTCAGTTGGTTGGTCGGTCGGTCGGTTGGTCGGTTGTCCGGTGAGTTGGTCAGGTGGAGTACTTGGTCGCTACGTGGTGGTGTGGTAGTGCCAGTCGGTTTGTGAGTGAGTGAGTGAGTGAGCAGGGTGGATAGACGAGCTGGCGAGTGGGCTGGTGTTGCGACGAGTGACTCGTCACGAAGCGTCATCGAGACTGCTTCGATTGATGGAGTAGACCAAGCGGATCGAGTGTATGGTTGAAACGTGCGCGTGTTGGATCGTGTTTGGATCGCGTTTCGAGTCACGATCGTGGAAGGGAGCTTCAAGCGAGCGAGCGAAGTTTGGATTCCGCCGTGCGTTTCGTGGATATGGTCTCGGATAAATGGTGACAGAGAGATGATCGTCGATGGATGGCCACGGACTGGTGGCTGGAACCGACGGTGCATGCTAGAAGGCGACCACGAGCAAGATGGTGGAGGTGTCTGGTTTTGTCTGGTGGCCGATGTCAGTGACCGCGATGTCGGTTATCTTGTCGTTATGTACCGACATCAGCCAGTCAGTCAGTCAGTCAGTCAGCCTGTCAGTCAGTCAGTCAGTCTCGAGCGGTGATCGAAGCAGGTGGCTGTATTGTTGTTGTTGATGTGTGGACGATGTGATGTCTGGTGGCTTGGGAGTGGAATGAACACAAGGACCTTACTGTGACGTTCAAGTGCCCTGCTATGACGTTATGCAAGGGGTACGAATGCCGCAGCGCAGCATTTGTCTGTTGTTTGTTCGAGCACGGGCGACTACTACACTATCTGGCGATTGACGAGTACGGAAGGAGCGACCGAGCGGAGCGACCGAACGGAGCATGACCGTAGCGCTAGGAGAGAACGTGTTGACTCGAAGAACGAGCAGTTGTGGACATGTAGATAAGATCGCGCAGATACGGACGTGATGGTCTGAACAAGGTGATCTGAACGTGCTGATACGAAATCGTGTTGATCGTAACGAGGTGGTTGACTACTGGTTGCAAAGCTCGACAATATGTAGCGGCGAGCTTTTACGAAGCCACACCGCTGAGCGAGAAGGTGGTCGAGTCGTCCATCGTCGACACGACATGCTGGGCCAAGCGGCGACCGAAGTACCGACAAACAGCTCCGCGAACAAAAGCGAGGCGGCGGAAGGTGCATGCTGATTCTGTTCGCTCGGCTGGAGTGTCGGCTCGTTCGTGCGTCTGTCCGTCTGAGTGTGTGGCAGCATGTCAGCGAGCGCGGTGTCCAAGAGTCGTGCCGTCTACCATCCCCATCCGCCACCGTATCCACCGCCGTATCCACCCCAGCCACCGCCGTATCCACCGTATCCACCAAAGCCACCCCATGGACGTCCCCATCCCAAGCCTCCTCCCCATCCCAAGCCTCCTCCCCACCACTCCTTGGACTTCTTGCCTTCAGCGTCGACGACGGCGGTGGACTGCTTGCCCGTAGCTGCAGCAGCCTCAACAGAAGGCGATTGTCTCTCGGTCGGGCCCGCGGTGAGCATGTCAGCGTTGGGTGCAGCTGGTTCCGCCGCGGCAAGTGCTCGTAGTGCTGGCTGGAAGTCGGTGGCGGATGTGACGCTTGCTACAGCGACTAGCGCGGTGACGGCGAAAGTGTTGAGCTTCATGATCGAGTCGGCTTGTCGGTCAGTTGGTTGGTCGGTCGGTCGGTTGGTCGGTTGTCCGGTGAGTTGGTCAGGTGGAGTACTTGGTCGCTACGTGGTGGTGTGGTAGTGCCAGTCGGTTTGTGAGTGAGTGAGTGAGTGAGCAGGGTGGATAGACGAGCTGGCGAGTGGGCTGGTGTTGCGACGAGTGACTCGTCACGAAGCGTCATCGAGACTGCTTCGATTGATGGAGTAGACCAAGCGGATCGAGTGTATGGTTGAAACGTGCGCGTGTTGGATCGTGTTTGGATCGCGTTTCGAGTCACGATCGTGGAAGGGAGCTTCAAGCGAGCGAGCGAAGTTTGGATTCCGCCGTGCGTTTCGTGGATATGGTCTCGGATAAATGGTGACAGAGAGATGATCGTCGATGGATGGCCACGGACTGGTGGCTGGAACCGACGGTGCATGCTAGAAGGCGACCACGAGCAAGATGGTGGAGGTGTCTGGTTTTGTCTGGTGGCCGATGTCAGTGACCGCGATGTCGGTGATCTTGTCGTTATGTACCGACATCAGCCAGTCAGTCAGTCAGTCAGTCAGTCAGCCTGTCAGTCAGTCAGTCAGTCTCGAGCGGTGATCGAAGCAGGTGGCTGTATTGTTGTTGTTATGTGTGGACGATGTGATGTCTGGTGGCTTGGGAGTGGAATGAACACAAGGACCTTACTGTGACGTTCAAGTGCCCTGCTATGACGTTATGCAAGGGGTACGAATGCCGCAGCGCAGCATTTGTCTGTTGTTTGTTCGAGCACGGGCGACTACTACACTATCTGGCGATTGACGAGTACGGAAGGAGCGACCGAGCGGAGCGACCGAACGGAGCATGACCGTAGCGCTAGGAGAGAACGTGTTGACTCGAAGAACGAGCAGTTGTGGACATGTAGATAAGATCGCGCAGATACGGACGTGATGGTCTGAACAAGGTGATCTGAACGTGCTGATACGAAATCGTGTTGATCGTAACGAGGTGGTTGACTACTGGTTGCAAAGCTCGACAATATGTAGCGGCGAGCTTTTACGAAGCCACACCGCTGAGCGAGAAGGTGGTCGAGTCGTCCATCGTCGACACGACATGCTGGGCCAAGCGGCGACCGAAGTACCGACAAACAGCTCCGCGAACAAAAGCGAGGCGGCGGAAGGTGCATGCTGATTCTGTTCGCTCGGCTGGAGTGTCGGCTCGTTCGTGCGTCTGTCCGTCTGAGTGTGTGGCAGCATGTCAGCGAGCGCGGTGTCCAAGAGTCGTGCCGTCTACCATCCCCATCCGCCACCGTATCCACCGCCGTATCCACCCCAGCCACCGCCGTATCCACCGTATCCACCAAAGCCACCCCATGGACGTCCCCATCCCAAGCCTCCTCCCCATCCCAAGCCTCCTCCCCACCACTCCTTGGACTTCTTGCCTTCAGCGTCGACGACGGCGGTGGACTGCTTGCCCGTAGCTGCAGCAGCCTCAACAGAAGGCGATTGTCTCTCGGTCGGGCCCGCGGTGAGCATGTCAGCGTTGGGTGCAGCTGGTTCCGCCGCGGCAAGTGCTCGTAGTGCTGGCTGGAAGTCGGTGGCGGATGTGACGCTTGCTACAGCGACTAGCGCGGTGACGCCGAAAGTGTTGAGCTTCATGATCGAGTCGGCTTGTCGGTCAGTTGGTTGGTCGGTCGGTCGGTTGGTCGGTTGTCCGGTGAGTTGGTCAGGTGGAGTACTTGGTCGCTACGTGGTGGTGTGGTAGTGCCAGTCGGTTTGTGAGTGAGTGAGTGAGTGAGGAGCAGGGTGGATAGACGAGCTGGCGAGTGGGCTGGTGTTGCGACGAGTGACTCGTCACGAAGCGTCATCGAGACTGCTTCGATTGATGGAGTAGACCAAGCGGATCGAGTGTATGGTTGAAACGTGCGCGTGTTTGGATCGTGTTTGGATCGCGTTTCGAGTCACGATCGTGGAAGGGAGCTTCAAGCGAGCGAGCGAAGTTTGGATTCCGCCGTGCGTTTCGTGGATATGGTCTCGGATAAATGGTGACAGAGAGATGATCGTCGATGGATGGCCACGGACTGGTGGCTGGAACCGACGGTGCATGCTAGAAGGCGACCACGAGCAAGATGGTGGAGGTGTCTGGTTTTGTCTGGTGGCCGATGTCAGTGACCGCGATGTCGGTTATCTTGTCGTTATGTACCGACATCAGCCAGTCAGTCAGTCAGTCAGTCAGCCTGTCAGTCAGTCAGTCTCGAGCGGCGATCAAAACATGTGGCTGTATTGTTGTTGTTGATGTGTGGACGATGTGAGTGTCTGGTGGCTGGGGGGGGGAATAAACACAACCCCCTTTGTGTGACGTTCAAGTGCCCTGCTATGATGGTATGCAAATGTTCGTTGGAGTACTGCACACGAACGCGGATGATGAATGTATTAATGTATGAACAGCTTGGATGTGACGTGTTGGCGCCGTTCAGAAAAATATATTGATGGCTCGAAAAGAAGTGCTTGAAGCCATAGATGTAGGGATTGAGACAAATTTAAATATGTCATAAGCCCTTGACGGTTTCCTTCGAATGGTCTCGAAGAGTGGAATAAGCACTGCGACCCGAAATCTGGTCGAACAGTTCTCGAGATTATTTGGAATGGTCGAGGCGTCTGAACACTGGTGTAAAAAGTCATCCCGACAGGAACCAAATACATATCGTACATAAATAGCGTATTTGCAGTTTAATAACTTATTTGCAGGGTAATAACTTGTCTGCTTGCTTTGACCCGCGAGTGATACAAGAGACGGACTTTGGTCTTCTAGTGGTGGGTCAAGGCTACCTCGGTGGGACTGGGCTGTACCTAGTTGTGACGATTATAACATACGTGGGTCGTGGTAAGCTATGACCAGATTGACTCTTTCCTCCATTTGCTACGTCCACTCTTTCTAGTTGTAGATTTCAGGAAGCCCCGCACCTATAGTACTCCTGTACGTTGCAAAGCGCTCGCTGATTAATGACCGGAGTCAAAGCTATAACATTTTGTGCGAGCCTTGAAAGCAAAGCTACAAGTGATAGTATCTCAGAAAGGAAAATGGTAGATCTCACATCTTTGTTGCGGCTAGAGTCGAGATAAGAGCTTATAAACTGCTGCAAAATAATAACGTGACAGCGACGAGATCTTTTCCTAACTGGTCACACAGTCTTGAACCGCTTGTTGATCTCCCTCTGACTGGAAGACCACACGGACCATATTGTGAAGAGCTCCTTCGAACGAAACCGCCATGTCATCCATTTGACTCTGATTTCTAGTCATAATGTCCTCCAGCTCATATTGTGTCGGGGTACTGTCCATGCCGCCCGTCGGACTCCACAAGCGAATCACGTTTTCAATTCCGCTTGTCGCTAGACATGCGTCAAAAGGATGAGGCTGGACACAATTTACAATATTCGCGTCCGCCTTGATTGCGTTCACCAGCTCCCCAGTCGCTTTTTCCCACACCAACGCTCGCCCGTCGTCGCTTCCAGCAATGATGTACGCGTCGTTTCGTCCAAAAAAAGCGGCCTCTTTGATGTCCGTTTGCACATTGCAATACCCGATGTAGCGACGGATGACATCACAATTTACTGGTGTACTGTTCACCAGCTTGCCATCCCAAAAACTGTCGTCATCAGCCGGCAAATTGTCACCGAGTTCATCATCTCGGTTGCCATTCTGAGCTTCTTCCTCGCTGCTGCTTTGATCGTCTTCATCCGATGACCTATACAACTGGGCATTGGGTCGCACCGAGCGCTCGGCGCTAACAGTCTCATTACTGTTCTTCAAGAATTGATCAACGTCGGCTTGGCGATCGACGTACTTTTCCTTGTACCGTCGGGCCTGCCACCTTGCTTGAGAGTGCCGTTTTGCTGCACTCAGCGCTTTAATATATGTCAGTTCAACTTCACGGTCATTCGGATCGAGATCTAGCGCCATCTTGCATTGCACAGCAGCCAGATAGCAGTCTGCGTTCCATCGTCTTCCTAGGTAGGCCTTGGCGCAGTCATGATGAAGCTCTTTTTGCTGCGTCGTCGTCATTTCTGTCACTTTGCGAGTAGCACATGCCAAATTTAGCGACTTCAACGCGCGTGTGTACTTGTGCTCTTCCATTGCTCTCTTCCCCCGATCACACATCATTTGTATTTCTTCGATATGTAAGTCTGACGGCAAGTCAGGCTCATCCATGTACGCTCCATCAAGCCACGCGAGCGGCTGAATTTGAGGCTGAATCTTATTGTCCTTGCGATACACTACAGTTTTGTCTGCGTCCCCCACCTTGAAGAGATAAATGTGATCATTGTGATAGTTGGCAAGAATCTCAGATCCGTCACTGTTGAACTCGATGCTTGTGCCATGGCTCTTATCATGTAATCGTCTTGTTCTGTAACTGCAATAAGCATCCAAGTGCAGATGCGGCGGTGCAAAAACCTCTACAGGACTAGTAGCTTCAGCAGTTCTCGCTGACGAAATGTTTTGCTGCACTCTTAGCATGCGCCGATCGTACATTCTCGTGTAAAAGTCTCCACAGGCCAGTGCTACTTTTGTCGGGTCTAATGGATGCACTGTCATACCCATTGCTTTTAGCACATGACCGTTCCTGTCTTTTCCCAAATTAATCAACACGCCAGACGTCTCACACGTATCACATGATCCGCTAGTGGTAGGCAGCGCTCGAAGGTCAAACTGGTACACGATACCATCCTCTGCTGCGGTCCAAAACACTTTGGGCACAGCCCACGAGGTGCCAATATCTTTGACCCGGTCTCGATGCACGCGGTAGAGCTTTGACGACGATTCATGGAACGGCGCGTAATGGATACGAACGTCGTGGTCCATGGCACCTGTGGCCAGCACATGGTCGTCAGTGCCCGGGACAAAGCGCACGGCAAAGATATTGAGCTGATGGCCAGTCTCAATCACTTGCTGTTGCGTATGTTGCCCGTAATTCCATACCAGCACCTTTCGGTCATCGGAACCGGATGCCAGGAGCGTTCCAGTCGCATTCCACTGCAACGTATTGACACAGCCTTCGTGGCCTTTCAAAATGGCTTCACACTGCAGACGACGGACGAAACTCCCGTGGCCGTGGCACGCGGCGTCGATCGCACAGGCGTTGCCCCGCACTTCGCGCTCGAACAAAAGGTCCGGGAGACTCACAGGCACGTGAGTGTGCTTCCAGTAACGGTCCAGTCGACCGCGTGGGGCACGACGGGAGACATCCATTGGGGGTCTCGACGGTTCGAATGATGGCAACTGAGGCTCTGGATGGGAGACGCCGACGACGACTTCAACAAGGATGCCGATTGGCTGAAATGGACAATAATGAAAGTGGGTGTTCTGCAACTGATTTTCATGATGGCGACAGAAGTACTACCGGCGAGTTCTCGATTGTTTGTTGCAGCCGGCAATGTGACACAACGAGTGGGTACATAAATCCTTCAGCTGACAACGAACGGTCCACATATCGTGTTTTCCTGATCTCGCTCATTGGAAATGAGTTCCTGCGCAGCGCCCATGGACAGTCTGTTCTATTGTCAGTGAGTTCCTTCTATCATCTTTATGGACCCTCAAGCGTGGGCGAAGCTGTTGTCGATCCAATTTTGCCGACCGTCTCGTTTAGCAGCGATAGTGCCGCCATGTGTATCACAAACATGGCACAAGGCCCGTTTTGGTCTCGTGGTGATGGCCACGACACTGACATACAAGCGGCGAGCAGGTTATTTCGCACTGTACTGACGGCGCAGTCCACAGCAAACAAAGTACGTGTAGCTGTATCATTTGCACAATCAGATGTTGTAGCGTGTACTGCGAAAGAAAAGCGAGCGTACATAATGCGCTTCATGCCATTTTAGCAGCTTCAGAGAGGATACGCTCGTGAAGATCAATGCACGATCAAATACTGGAACTGCTTGATGGGTCTAATGACACGAAACGGCACCAACTGCTTGCACGGACAAATGACAAGGCTTTCTCTTACTTATTTAGCAGTAGTCGTCTCCGCGTGTCCAAGCATGAGAGAAATCGATTGTCCTATCTGTCGCCGTCGTAGCTTTTCAAGATAAGCTCAATCTCGTCTGCCATTTCCTTGGCGCTCGGTCGCTTCTTCGGATCCGAATCCCAGCCTCGGACAATGAGGTCCTGCATTTGTTGAGGGTAGTCGCTCATTTCTTCCAGCGGAGGTCGCACACCTGTTGGAACCTTCCGGTAAGTCTCCGCTCTCTCAAAATCTGGATATGGCTTCGTCCGAGCTCGTAGGGACCAAAGCACCAGTGACAAGCTGTAGATGTCTAGTTTTTCATCAAGTGGCAGGAACTGGTACTCTTCTGGCGATCGCCATTTTCCTTTGGCGACTGAAGTCTCAAACATACACTTTTCACTGGTTGCCACACCGTTCACGAGACGCGGTCCAGTATATTTCACACGGTTGAAGTCGTTTAGCCTCAGAGTGCCGTTCGCATCAATTAAGAACTGGCGAGCTTGTATATCAGCGTGCGCAAACGGACCTCCCGGGGCACTGTGCAGCTGTGCGACGCCTAGGGCAGCATCGCGCGCCAGCTCCAACGCACGACGGACCGGCACTGGTTCCTCGGAATCAAACAGTAGTGTATCAAGCTGATGCGGGACGTAGTCCACCACCACCGTCGTCCCACACCAGCCCACGAGCTTCACGATGTTGGGCTCGTTGCGTATCGGAAAGATGGCCGAGCACTCTTCCACGTGACGATAGACGATGTCCGGTCGAGTCAGCAGATGCTTCTTCACGCGTTTGACTGCCACGTCCCGTCCTGCATCATTGTAGCAACAACCCGACGACAGCCAAAACATTCACTTGTTAGATTATCAATAGGAACCATTGTCAGCAACGATAAACATGTACTGCCGGACCATTCCACTTGGTCTTGAACACCTCTCTCCAAAAGCCTTTGCCAATAAACTCGCCGACCTCCAGTTGATCGATGTTATTGCAGTTCAGCTCGAGCTCGTCCGGCTTGAACATGGCCACAGCCGCCGAGAAGTCGCAGCCGTCCTATACGATGAAACACAATGACCGAAAGCCACGTTAGCACGTTATGATAGGCATATCCCGACCGCATCGCAAACATACATCTTTGCGATAGTACTCTGGCGTCAGCCACGATTCCAAGTCGATCTCAATCTCGTTGCCCTCTTGAGTAGCGGCAACGCTGTCACGCAGTTCCTGGGTGACGCCCCCTGCGCTCTCAGATCGCAGAGAGGGCACGACCGATAAATGCGTGATGACGCTCATATTCCAATACAGATAGCTCACTACGGACAAAGCAGCAAGCAGCTTGGCCACAAGCGGCAGCAGTTGTCGCCACGAGGAGCGGACGGCGCGCCAGCGGGCGTCGCGAGACCGATTCGAGTGCGGCATATCGACCTCTGATGACTTGTGGGGGGGAGTTCCAATGTGATTAGCGCCCGAAAGTATTCGTGGCCAGAGTCGTGATCGTGTGACGATCGGATTGGAGAGGGATTGTATCCCTTCAATGAATACAGCAAGAAATTACAGTGTCCTTTGAAGTACGGACAGCCGATAAACGTGGCGACACGCGAGCCACTGGTACTGGCCAGTAACAAGATGCAGATGTTTTGCTGATCCGAATTCAAGAGTGTCGACCTATTTGCACTCCACACTCGGACCAAAGACGTGACTATAATACGCCTGCGTTTTACGGTATTCTGAGCTCAATGTCGTAGTAGCACCAACTCTATCGCACGCAGCGTGCCCGACGGACGAGCGATGGGGTCAGAAAAGGCAGGCTGAAACACGGTCGGTACTCCCAAACGATCTGCTGCGGGTGTTGACGTTCATGAAGCACTCAGTGATCTAGCACAAACCCGTGACAAAATCAGTTTCTCGGTGTGCGAACGGATAGATGTACACTAGTATGCGGACGGTAGTCCCTTGACGCTTTCTGCTAGGCCTTCTGTGAACAACGGTTGCCAATGTTCACTAGACACATCCAAGTGCTATCAAAGCTCATAACGGGCCGCAAAAGTGACGACAACATTTGCTCTCAAGTCGTACAGCTTCGACGCTTCATCGACACGTCCAAGCGCTGATGCTGACAACGCGCATTCATATTTTAGCTGAAGCCAATCGCGTGGCAGATAGGCATGTTGCGTGCTGCAGAATGCGGAAGAGACCCAAGGCGACGTCGAGGGCTAAGGAGGATTTTTTGAATGCAGTAAATAACATTTGATTTTCGAAACAAGTTGGTTCTCACTCCTGTGCAATAATGCGTTGTTCAGTACTTCGCTCAATCACCACATATATTTTCGTTTTTACAATCGCTACGAAAAAGTAGTTTTGACCGCCGGGACTGATCGATCCTTAGTCGTCTGATTTGCTGACGATGGAATACTCATGAACAATTTGAACATCGTGTTTATCTTGTTTGATTGTTTTATAGATTTGGAAGTTTTGTATTCAGCTGCTTTTGGAGAGTAGTTGAAGAGATGACTCCAAAAATCTTCTTCTGTTGCATCTTCATGCTTTTATTAGATATCTAGGCACAAATCGAGATTATATACTAAACTTTGCATTTCATTTTACTTCCTCGTTGTCAATTTTTCTCGTGAGTCGTTCACATCGACATGTTTGGGCTACGTGTGTTCCTTCAACACTCTGTTCATAACATGTCTGTTCCGCAATGAAATCCAGATTGACCCAAAGTGGAACCTTTTCGACCCTTTACATTTCGTGGGATCAATCTAAGTGCGTTCACGTCGCAATTACACGTCTTACACTCCACCTACTACACTTAAGCCTACATCAAGTCAACTTCTCCTGCATCAAAGAAGCCGGGACTCTGGCGAGCTATGTATGAGCACGTTTTCATCATGTCCTCTGCTACCAGCATCTACGGTTTCACTATTTCTTGCTCCAGCTACGCATAATCTTAGCTTTACGCCAAAGATCTTCTGGCTACTCGAGGTCCCTCACTCAATTTGATGGACAGCGCCTTGATTTTCCGTGAGCATCTCATTATTCTGCGTCACAATAACCCCCAAGCCACATTGCAGATTTTTTCGATAAGCATCGATAATGCGCCATTCATATGTATCCGCAAATCACGAGTTAGAAGATAAAATTTACACTGATGACTGCTGCTTCACTTGCCAACCTACTGCCATAGTGTTCATATTTACGACTGCCTTTATTACAGACTTCCGCGTACTTTTGTCAACAGCCTAGCCGTCGTCTGTGCAGCTTTAAAGTAGAACGTGCCATTGCGCGATATCTTTTCACGTGTACAGTTTCATGTTCACAGTGCCTGTCATGTAACATTACACCCAGCGCGGTATTTTCAAATTTGATGACGAGTGGCTCTTTTGCGTGGCTTTGTTCACGTCATACGCTACATACGGTTCAATGAATCTATCGGTCCATAGTATACTGTTAGCGGGAGTTTGTAAGATATTTACGATTGACTTATCTGCTATTTCAGGTCCCCTCATTGGAAACAACATTGCCCCCTCAATCTCTGGCTTCAACGACGATACATCGGATATTGGCGCTCGCTCTGCATTAGCCTAATCGTACCGGTTCTCATAAACTTGTTCTGAGATAATGTGCTCTTAATCGATATTTTAACCAGTATCGTCGTTGTAACCTATTTGAATTCCCCAAATAATCTAAACGTAGCCGAATCACTATAACGTCCGGGCTGCCCACCGTGCTGGCAAGTTAGTCGATCCATTTATCACTAGTTGCCATAAGCAGAAAGTAATTGTGGCATGTTACAATCACCACTGTGCCGTACATATTAATTTGTAATACATACGTGCATGCATTAGTAACCTACTGCGTTTATCATGCTTCTATTAGCGTATGATTTAAGCGCTGGTTCCGCATACTTTAGGCTTGTTAGAACGCTAAATGCTTTTGCTAGACGCAGGCACTTTTCATTCACCTCTCCAGCGCCGACCTTGTAAATATAGTTCCGCATCAAAGTTCGGGAATATATATTGGGCTTTTTATTAGCAAGTAAACACCAGTACTTACAACTGAAGTTCTGCTTCGCCAGTAAATACATATGCGAACTCCATCGATCGCTTGATTTTTTTAACGTAGCCGTGTGAATGCTCAATCTAATTATTAACAGTATACCCGGTCAAATTGCTCTCTCGCTGTCAATATTTTGTATAGATCCATTGTTGTCGATGCACAGGACGACCGCGGCTTGACTTGCATGCTAGTCTCCAGCATCAGCTTCTTATTATTATATCCACACCATCAGCTGCAGCAGACACAAGATTATCTTCTGCAGTCGATTAATTAACCGCAGCCAGTTTACGGTGGTGCCCTCCCTAACATAATATATGCTTATGGAGATATACTTCTGATTGTCTACATCTCCGGCGAAGCCTGAATCACTAGATAAGATAAGCTAAAGAATAAAAGTTCTTAGTCTTCAAGAAGTAACGGAAGAAACGTCGAGCTTTGTGTAACCGGTGCAACGGTCAACAGGCTTAGCCAGCATCCAATATATAAAATTCAGTGCACGGCAACACCGATCGAAATTGTGGACGATGGAGTGATGTACGGACGCTTACAGAGCATTTGACATTATAGACTGTCATCATTTTATTACAATTTTAAAGGTACTGTCTGAAAAAGGGCGGTGGACCTGGTGTGCAGTATTGTAGGTTCCTCTGAAAAAGTAGATACATTTTTTACCAATAGAAACATGGACACCCTTAAAAGATGACTAGTTGTGTTTGTCGAGCATCTGAGTACTAATTTGCTCTCGATTTTGACGCTCCCACCATTACAATGTCGATAATACATACCTCATACCTCGACGAAACGACAAGACCTTCTAGCTCAAGTACGTGCATATACGTGAAAAACTTGTCCATAACATCGATCGTTGCACCCGTGACATTTATATCATCCATGTATACGCCTACTTATTACTTCAAACGCCGTCCACTTCGTAAATCACAATTTAGCATTTATGTATTGCTCAAATTTAATTTTCGACCAGCGTGGACGATATTATCATCTTCCAAAGGCCATCAGACTGCTAAAGTTTCTAGTATCTTTTCTTCAATATCAATTTCAGATACTTTACACCATTCATATAAATATATAATGTGTTGCATCGTAAGTCTCTATCTAAGGCGGGGTGCCTCAACAAAAGACCAATGAACATCTGCATTGCTTGTGATGCTGCGCTAAATACTCGGGAATATGATAAACATAAGTATGCTGATAGTCGGGATGGTAGTTGATCTCGTTGAGGTATAACTTTTGCTCGAATCTGAAAATTGATACGGCTTCCGAGATGTGCAATGGGTTCGTTGATTTTACCAGTACAAAGCTTTCTCAGTATTATAAGCATAGTAGGCAGATAGTGGTCTGACACTGTGAGACCGAACTTCAATGTTCAATTTCTTGTTTCATCCCAGCGAATGCACTTTTGGTCACTCGGAAAAATCGTTAGATTACTTTTTGTATTGCGTCGTGCCTGGCCATGATTTATCAGGCCGGGTTCATGGAATGGCGTCTTGACATTTGTCAATGTGGTCAGTACAGTGATTTTCCTCAAAAGAAAGTGACTTTCGGATTCTTATTCAAGCGTAATTAGATACTCTACAATCATTGACAAATGACATTTTCGTTTGGCATCAAATACATCTTCATTGTACGCTGCACCTTGAAATAATTAAGCATTCGTTATCTCTTCAATAATTGCATATGCTCATTTCTTTTTACCCGGTGAGACACCTTCGAGTACGATTGCCGATGCAAACTATCCTTTTGACAGCGACTTAATGGATGCGTCGCTTAGAAGGGATGATATTATCCTGTCGGTTGCCATTTAGGACAGGTGAATGTAATCGAGGAAAACATGTAAGGATGGAACGCTGTGAAGCCAGGGAAATATACCTGAGATGTGCCGCGAGATCCACCGCAGTTAAATTGTGCACAAGTAGTTGTATCGCAATTAGGATGCGATTATACAGATCAAAATAGATGGACGGAGTAGAAGGTGAACATTCCAGCCAATACTTCTTTGTCAACCGCATCGGTAGCTGCTGTAAAACACATCTCTATCTGTAGAGGCGTATTCAGCTTACCAAACACCACAGCAAAGTCTGCAGCAATATCTCGGGCGTCACGCTTTTGTGATAAGATCTTAATCAGTAATAGATACCGACACAGACGTAGCCTCTTATTTCTACCTTTCCATCCCCGACAATCTATAGCGTCACGAGATTTGAAAGCTGAGCTTGCCAAATCCTTGTACGAGTCCTCGGAACGATACAGCAAATTTGTCGCACGTTATGAGCCAAATTTCATTTTTGCTGTTTAGAAAACCGCCGCCAAATGTTTATCTTATATTAATTCTTTTACAACCA